GAGTGCTGGGTTATAGTAGGCGAGAACGGGGGTGCTCGTGATCAATTCCTTCATTTTCTGAAATGCTCTCTCCTGCTCCGCGTCTCAATGTCACTTCGCACTCTTATGCGTGAGTTTTCATATCGGTAACATTACATCGGCTAATCTGGGCAAGAAACCATTTAGGTAATTCACCACCCCATTCAGCCTGCTAAAGGCTTTCAGATCAGTAAGATGAGACATCTGTTTGATGGCCCTGACTTTGTCTGAGTCTGGTTTCAGTCATTCGGAGCTTAACACGTGTCCATGGAACACCATTTCCGTCCTACGCAACCTGATCACACGTTTTAGCTTGATGTTCCCTTCGAAACAGCGCTGCAAAAAGCGGTGAGAGTTCTGATCGTGCTCCTCTCGCGTTGCTCTAAAACCCAAAACGTCGTCTGCTATACAGAACGTTCCTGATAAATCGTCTAAAGTCTGCACCAGTCGGTTGTGGAGTATTTCGCTAAATACCTTCAGTCCAAACGGTAAACGAAGCCAGCGGAAACGCCAGAAAGGTGTACCAAACGTGGTCAGGTAGCTTGACTCTTCGTCAAGTAATACATGCCAAAACGCAGAAGCAAGGTCGACTTTAGTGAATATTTTAGCTCTGGATAGCACCGGAAGTACGTCGTCTAGCGTCGGTAGCGTATAATGCTCCCTCCTGAGTGCAGCGTTAAGTGGTTTTGCATCAATGCACACGCGTAGTTCACCAGATATTTTAGTAACTATCGGCATCGGGCTAACCCAATCTGTCGGCTCTTCAACGTCGGTTATTACATCCGAACTAGCAAGACGCTGCAGCTCGTCTAAAAATTTCGTACGTAAGGCAATAGGCACCTTTATGGTGGGCAATAATACCGGCTTAGCGGATTCGATTCAAGATAAATGAGCACACCCTTCGAATCTCCCCTACGACCTCGTCAAACATGGTAGGGTAGCTGTCAACAATATATATGTTATCTTCACACGAACGGACGAAACTTTCATGGTTAAAAAAGACAAAACCGAGACACTGAATAAAATCAATACCCAAAAGGCGCATACGGTCTACTGAGACTATAAGGAAATCAAGTTGGTGTTCTGTGTCGTTTTTCGGATTGATGGCCTTCAACGTGGCGTTACCTTTCGGCAGCAGCTCTGAACCATTCCACATTCTCAGGCAATTCTGCGTCCTGTCACGTGTCATTCCCACACAGTGCTTCGCAGGTAGGATGTTGGCACTAGCCCCTGAGTCCAGTTGGAAGCGCACCGGTCGGCCTTGAATCAAAAGCGTCGCGAAAACACACTTGTGGTCACCACAATTTTCCAAGTTGCTTGTCGAAAATACTTGTAACCGTTCGTTGATGCTGTCGACTACTGGGCTGGCCTTAGCGAATCTGCAAGAGCGAGCAAAATGGTTCTTCTTGGAACGTTTTGTGCATGTTCAATCCAAGCTGGACAGCTTTTTTTCTTGGATGTACACAACAGCAAAACTGACAACTCGTACCCTGTCCTTCGGGTGTCTGGGGCGGATTATTGCTGGTTCGGGATACCGCGCATAGATCGGTGTTTGTTTCGGTGCTCAGGTGCTAGAACTGCCGCGCCGTCTTTGCATTCACTCAAGAAGACGTCCACACATTGTTCCAAAAATAGGTTCCTTTGTCTCAGAAGGCGCCAAGTGAGCTCATCATTATTTATGCCAACGAGAATACGATCACGTATCAAGGAGTCTGGCATGTAATTGCACAAGTTGCAGTTCTGTTATCTAAGTCTCGAACGATTCGCTTGGGGATCGACCCCGAACGAAAAAAGTATACGTTTCATTTACCTGTCCTTCGCAAAACGCACCGAATCTGCTCAGCACTTTCGAAAGTTCGACTTCCTCACCTGCCTCACTGAGCTCCAATATTTCCGGCACCCTTCTGGCTTCATCACCCACAGCGTGCCTAAACGTCGCTAACTAGTACGCCATTGGTTGAGTACACAACTGGGTCAGGGTGAAGAAATCCCTCCACTTCGCCTTCCACATTCTCCAGTTCGCTGGCAGCATGCTTTCAGTCATCTGCAGAGCGGTAGGCAGTGTGATTGACGGCTGTCCACCAAAAACGAGCGGGTTCCGGCGCGTCGGCTGCATCTGTGTCGCCATGTCGTGTTGCCCAACGGGAAGCAAAAGTCTGAGCCAAAATCACGGAGAACGATCATAGAGTATATACACTATTAACAACAGTCGGTTTCAATAGCTCATCCCCGTTATTTGCAGTGCCGCTGGCTCCTTTTACATTGGCTTATGCTTGCTCGTCATGTTCACTTTGTCTTAAATCATCTTGACTTTCTTAGTGGGTGTACAATTGGTGGGATTAGGCCCGTGCGCTTCTACCCTCGGTCCAATGCCACAAGTCTTGGCTCAAAGGTGTACGAGTATGCGTTCCTTCGTCTGCTGGCACCTGATTGGTCACTTGCACGTTCAGTGAATGGTTGCAGGCCGGACGCGTTCACGGGCCAACTACTTCCTGATTGGCTGACCAATCTGCCTCCGGCAACATGCTAACTCCCTATCGGCCTGACCTGTGACGTTCGATCGACATTACAGCATGTCCAGCCCCATCACAGTGAACAATCCAAACAGATTGACCTCAATCCATCTAAATGCTCACCAAGCCCTCGTTTGACTCATGTGATCAACCAATCATTTCACTGAGCCCATAACCACTTATTGCACTGTGGTGGCGTCATTCGTCGGTCGCTCTGAATCCTAGCTTGTTGGCCCACGGACTAAAGCGTTTGCCATTGTAGCCAATTTGAGTCGTAAGTGCTATTTCTGTGGTATATATTGTTAAGGCTCATTTATTCATTCGTAAATAGAGCCGTATTCCAATTCCGGCTTTGCTCCCAGTGAAAACACGTTATTTGAACCCAGTAAGCGAATTTTGTCGCTTGCACTCGTGAAGAGAAAAACACAACAAGTTTCAGCGCCTACAGTTCTTTAGAATAAAAAAACTCCGTTCCCGAGCCGTTAGCTATGATCGACTACTGTGGAGGACGAGAACCAGTATCTCAGCCCCACGCGTCCCGATACCCTGACATACAGGAGATACGATAATAACCCAGGCTTAAGCGCTGGCCGGCGCGCGACGACTGCGACCTGCTTCAGCGTGATCATGACAGCCGCGCCATGTGGTCAGCAAAGGTCAACCTTCTGACCAAACCGGTCAAGTCGGTCCTCATGAGCCTGGGCGAGGGTGTTAATGGCCGAGTCTACAACCTGGCCGGTCAACAGTTACACCCATCAACATCCGTGGAAAAATCTCAGCGTATTCTAAACCGCGGTGTGGAAAACCCTGAAAAAAAAAACAAACTTTTTCAAAAAAGAGGGGGGCAGTTTGGGGGGGTTCCACTAAGCCTCCTCATCCTGCCGGAAGGAGGAGGCACCCCCCTCTTCTCTTCTTTTATTATAACAAAGCTAGGATAGAGTTCACCCCCCTACTATTCTCTCCTCCCGGGCGGAGGGAAAGAAATGAAGGGAGACAACAGGGTGGCCCCAGGATTACTACGAGGGGTGTGAGGTGTGCCGTGCGATGAACGACGCTAGTGATCGAGGTTGTGCCGTCGAATTCGGCTGGGCATCATCATGACGCTCCGCATGTTACATCAGATTGAGTAGCTGAGCTCGTAGCGACGCTGCATCTGCTCCCCCCACACAGCACAGCAGAAGACGGGTGCAGACATCACGTCCCGCATGTGATGCCGGACTTTCAGCAGCGCCGCCGCGAGCGCTGGATGGTGGTGATGGTTATCAAGAAGTAGGCAGACGTAGTCGTAGTCGTAGTCGGTTAATCAGCTGGAGGCGCGCCTCGCCGAGTACTGATTTGACATATGATCACAAGAATAATAAATAGAAGTTATAGTTAGATATAATTGGTAACTAAACGGAGACACGCAACTGCATCTCATTACTCATTATCTACAGTCGGATGGTCGTGAATGATCGTTTTTGGTTTGTGACTATTGCTAGGTTTTGCGTTTTGGCTTTTCGCTCTACCCTACATCTCAAAGAAAGAGAAGGCGAGAAAGTGAGGAGTGGAAGTGACGAATGCCGGCAGCGGACGAAGGCGCGAGGCGGATAGGCGTGAATGGCATATAGTAAAATAAAAACATAAGACAACAAGATACGAACAAGTAACATAAACGAATAGCGAAACAGATGGGACGGGGCGAGGGGAGAGAAGAACACGGAAAGGAGAAGTAGGGATAAGAGAGTATAAGGAGTAAAAAGAAAAGGTAGATTGCGGTCTGCGCAACAAAATAAGAAAAAGCAATAGATAATTACAATTCTAAATCAGAGAGCGAACAGTGAGATTGATCTTTTACATTCTTCCTCCATACATACATACGAGATTTCGCAAACAGAAGTCGGTTCGTGTGTTCCTTAGAGGTAACTGATGCGACAAACTGGCAGAACAGTCTGGCCACCTGACCTCAGGCAGGAAGAGTACTTGAGAATTTTCGATGATGTTCCTCACACAGCACCTGGTGAGAGTCGTCTGTGGTCACGGTTTCCAATAATGCGAATTTTTCAGAGGTTCCCTAAAGAATAGCCACCGTTGTGGCCGAAGTAGTGATTACAGTCAAGGGAGCTTCCAACCGTTCGTCAAAGAAATAGCAGCGGTGAACGAATGCAGGAAATGAAGAGGACTGATAAAGTCAACACAGGCTCTTAATCAGAAAAGTACGGAATGTGGAGCAGGCAACGGTGATGGTAACTGATGTTTTGTCCAGCAAAACACAAAAAACTGCCCAGATTAAATGGTTCAAGTCGGGCTAATGAGTATGATTAACATGTGAGGAAATAAGTAGTATAAAAAGACACCGGAAAACCGCTGTGTCTAGGGAATTTGATTCTGATGGTGGAATGATTAAGAACGACTGTAAAACTAATGTAATAAGCAGTAATAATAAGTAAAATGAAGTGGTTAGCAACCGTGAGCACAAAGGTATCTCACCTTCGGGTAAACCACCAAGCCCTCGGCCACATTTTGCAATAAAATCAGGCAAGCATCCGCTGCCAAACAAGCCTCAGGGAGCACAATACGCCGGATAGCAGAATCATCGAGTGAACGTTCCAGCCATTGGACAGCCGCGGTCGAGATACACGGACCTGATGAGTGCATCAGATATCTGGCGAGGGCGCAAGCTCGCTCACATCGGATGGGATTTCTTTTGTATGGCATTGCACTCGAGCCGATCTGTGCAAAAGCAGTGATGTGTACAGATAAAGTTGTTTTGTGACATCAAAACAAAATCCAGAAACAAATAAACTTATTCTCGAAAGGTTCTAGGCACGCCTCTCTAACATCCTAATGTGAAGCATTTTCTCTCCCGCGCGTCTGAAACTTTGAGAAAAAAGCGACATCCGAAGTAGGTCGCGGAGAATAAAAGAGACCCCATGGTACAGCCAACCTTTACCGTTATCCTAGATAAATTCCATGGCAGCTATCACAACATGGTCCAACTCTCCTCCGAAAGGCCATACACTTGATCCTGCCATGACTCAATCTGCAGTCCCATATAGACCATACACCTAGAATCGTTTTCCATCCTCCTCAGATCTTTGATTCGGAAAATTTATTCCTGACGAATGATGCATAATTGGCTACTGATGAATTCTACAGGAATGTCGGAAGTTGTCTGAATGCTCTTGTCCCATTGAGGTATCGGCGCTTTCCGGGTAAAGCAAAATCCATCTTCACTTCCGATAAGTTTGCCAGTAAACACACAAAGCTTCGCAGTCGTTAACTGCAAACGAAAGACTTCTCCCTTGTTTTGCAACAACAGAAAGTCATTACTGAACTCGAACCATTTAGGCAAAACAAACGCATGACTGGAGAAAGGAGTGCGCTTGGCAGCATTAATAATTAAAAGCAGAAACTTATCAAGTTGTTGAAAACAAGAAACAAAACCATAGAAACTTTTGCATTTGGATTTGTGACAACCGGATAACAAGCGATCCAACGCACACAAGCAAAGCTCCTAACAACTACGTTAGCTCCCTGTTTAACATCACTGCTGAGCTACCTGGACAAATTCTCCATCCGCATAGTGATGATAAGTTCTGCAGAGTAGAATTCCAACTCAGTGACATTAATCCCTTTATTTACTCTACTAAACTATCTTCGTATGCTGGACCCGACAATTTATCGCCAACCTTTATAACAAACTGGGCTCCGATATCCCTATACTACTTTCGAATCTATTTTATCTTTCATTGAAAGCCAGCACAGTGGGAGAATGCCATATTTACCCCCCCCCCCCCGTTAAACATCAGGCTCTGTGCACGAAACGAACAACTACCGTCTAATCAGCCATACTTCTATCCTGTCTAAACTGATGGAACGCCACGTAAAGTCCGAAACGGTCGATTATTTGATGACGCGAAATCTTACCAACAGCTCACAACACGGCTTCCTAAGCTGGCGATCCTGCATCAAATGTTAGATCGACTTGCTCAATCTTCTGATTAGTTCGCTTGACTGAGGCTCATCGGATAGCGTAACGTTACATATAAGATTACCAAAGCGAACAATTGTCTTAGCTTTTTGTTTTATTTCTCTGCAATTGTTCTACACTATTGATTATCTTCTATTCTTTCCTGGAAACCACAACACTCAGGTACATGTTTCGGATTTCCGTGCTCGACAAAATCCACATCGATTTTAATTTCTCTGATTTTCGCTTGCCTTCACCTGAGGCAATCACTCGAAAATCTTCCCGAAACTGCACTGTTTATAAATATTTCGAACGCGTTGCCGAGAACAAAGGTTTATTTATCAATTTGTCCTCTTTGATCGACTGGACAAAATAAATCAGACAAGTGTGAAACTACATTTCATTCTAGAGTAGCATATAAAAATTACTCATTGTGGTTTTCAATTCATTTTATTAGTTTTCTTTTACTTGCTTGGTCACGAGACGGGGCCGATCTCCTGAGGCGATGGATTGAAGCTTTCAAATTGAGCAGTAACACCCATACAAGTCGAATTGCCATGGACCCACTGGAGAGAAAAAAAGGTGCTGAACCCAAAAAAGAGTCTACAGGTTGACGGCCTATTGCTTATAACAATGGCCGAGAAAGAATCTTCACACACACACACACACACACACACATATATAAATATATATATATATATATATATATATATAACCGACTAGCGATTATCACGATATTGCCATTCCATGTTCCACTCCGCAGGCTAGTGAAGAGAGTGAGTATAGTTATAGTTCCAGTTATCCCTCAGCCATACTGAATTTACCGGGGCCTATGAAAACACACGTATTAACCGGATGGAAGGCAGACGTGCAGAGACGCCTACCAGAAGTTGCATTGCACATGGCCAATCTTTTAAATGGATTAAATAAAAGGTTGCATCTAACGGGAATGGTACGTCAGTATGTCATTATATAACATCGGAAATGAATCGGCGCATAGCGACAATGGTTTTATGAGTACCGAATGGGCTGCACCTGGAACGTACGATATAGACCGTTAGCAAATAGCTTATGGCCACAGTAGAGTACAGGTCGGTAGGTATAAACGGTTGAGTACTTGGACATTTGCACAATAAATGTGAACACTGTTTGGAAAGTCGCATGTTTGACAGTGGGCAGCGGGACTTAGTTGATGTCACTTGTCAATACCAAAGGTTGCGCATCAATCGTTCTTTGAGTAGGTGCACATGCCTCGGGCAGCACATGACCGAACCGGTCGGAGACACAGAGAGCCAGAAGTGGACACTGTATCGCATTCGCATGCTGTGTGATCTCCCACATCAGCTACTCAAACCAGACTGTACATGTAGAGGGCAACACCTAAGTGCACACTATTTCACTGTACCAATAGTCTGGTCATCATTCTACCTAGCAGTTGCCTTACTATTGCCACATCGGATTCTTTCAAACATGGATGCCCAAGATTTAAGGCAGTCACGTCTAAATGTGGAATAAAACATCAACCGTTCGTATGGGGTAGTTATTCTCATACCTGCAAAAGTGGTTGTTAGCCTGACCTCCAAACGAAACCCATACACGTTTGTCGTACCATTGATGATGATGTCTAATGTGTCTCTATCCACTTTGTGACAGCTCACACTTAAGTTTGCATAAACGCATGTACATATGTTGCATTCGAACTGCCATTGGACAAAGATGACGCCGATCTATGTATATATGTATACCGAATGGATTCCACGAGGATCTTCATTTCGCTTTTGTACGGTTAACTTAGTGCAGTAAAACGACATTCGAGCAGACCGAAAATAATATTATCAGAACATGAAGAAGGTGAGTTTATGACAAACTCATGTTGATTTCAGGTGTTGCGAATCCAAGGCAAATTTGATCGATGCGAATTCCGTGGACTACTCAAAAGGGCGGTTTCTCAGGTGCCGGAGAAGGCACTATTGAACGCGATATAGAAGCACCATGAGTATGTTCCCATACAATTTACTAATCCAGGCCAATAAGGCGGCGTATGTGGTACGTTTGCCTGCGTGATGAATAATCTTGCATTTCAGAAGTAGATGTTGCTTGAGCTCCCCTGTGTGGATGCGCCTGATGTGAATGTTGACAAGGTGCCTACCTGTCTATTACCCACTACCTCGTCCATACTGGCTCCAGGAGACAGTTGGTCGTCGCTGGAGAGGACGGAGTGCACCGTCCTTGTGACGGTGCTAGGCTCAAGAGTGGTTCCATGCAACCTGTGTGGAACGGGCTACGGTCCAGCCACCGCCTCGTGTACGTCTGGTGTGTATGAATTCCCAATTAGGCCGGAATGCTTCCGTTCTGCTTGTTGAAGGAGTGTGGGCCGGCTCCGTTGATGAAACGTGGCTCCCATCCGCATGCCTCCCGGTCTTATTCCTTCGGGTTTACACCGGATATGGGGTGTGTGGATGGAACTATGGGTGGTGCAGCGCAAGCCACCCATGGTCCCTCTGTAGGCGCAGGCGTCCTGTGACTGTCCCCATGGACATCACAGTGACAGGCAAATCCGGATACGGACGCTGCCAAATCATATATATATATATATATATATATATATATATATATATATATATATATATATATATATATATATATATATATATATTCACAGTCTGTTAACAGACATTGTGCCATTAGAACCATGGCAGAAGAAAAAAGTGAAGAAGATGGGAACACGAACTGCGAGTAAAAATATGGGAAACGATTTTTTTGGTTTTACACACGCCATGTTTTATTCTTACGTTGTTTTGTGAGCTTTTATGCACATCAAAGGGATGGTAAAATGGCAGAACAACATTGACACCACTTATGTCTGTTGCGGGCCATGACGTCTAATTTTTCCAACCAGTGAGATTCGGCAACTCGTGGTCCCAAACCTGGAAGACGCACTGGTCCGACCGCCGCCAAACTTGAGGTTGCCTACTTCATGCTCCTCTACGTCATTGGCTGTCCACCGCGGCACTTTCTCCAATCGCTCCCTGGAAGTGCAGATAGCGCTCGACGTGGAAGGCGATGGGCTGGCATGCGCAGAACGTGCCCGAGCCAACGCATGCGATGTCGGAGAATAACGTTCTGAAGACTGGCACTAATCGCTCCAAGCACGCGGTCTCGGACCTCTGCGTTGCTTACGTGGTGTTGCCACCACACCCGAGCAATCCTTCGTAGACAGCGATTGTCGCAGATTGACAGCCGCTTCATATCTTCCGAGCGAATAGGCCAAGTCTCACAGCCGTACAAGATTAGTGCACGGACGGAAGCATTGTACACCCTGCCCTTGAGCTTGAGGCTGACATCACGACGACGCCATAAGAAGAATCTTCATAATGAGAGGTCTATGCCTACAAAATGATGACGGCTTACTTGCCTTGAATCCACATGAGCACTTGGCCAGATGTGGCGTGGACGTGCGGCTGAAACCACTCGAGTGAGTACCCCCCGCATAGAAGCAGGTCCGCAGGAGACGGTTCCACGGATGGTTATGTTACTCTACTTGAACTGCGTGCTATGCCTACATTGATTCCAACGCTATAGTTTCCGCATTTTATTACTTTTAAATAACTGTACACTGCAAAGCCGATCTGGGACCTAGTCTGTAAAACTCAAAAATCTTTCTCTACCATCCGATTATGATGTTGGACATGATGATCAGACGACATACCTGGTCTACGTCTCGCATCGTGGAGAGATACACCAGTTATTTGTTTATTCG